AGTGAATGTTGAAAATGTGGTAGCAGTGATTCTTCCTCCTGCTCCACTAGTGCCTCAGGAAAGATTGAAGGCAGATGTACATTGGTTGAATAGAGAGAATTGTACTTATTTTGTGTATTTTATTGCCTGTTTTTATAGGAACAGAAGAGCTTTCGTTTATACAAATGTGCCTTGAGTTTTGCTCTTGCTGCTGCCTCATCAGTTGGAATCCTTTTCTTGTTGCAGTGGCAACACAAACTGCAGATTAAAGCCTACGAGGTCTGTTTGGTCCCAGTGAGTTCATGTGATGAATAACCAACAGCGCTGTGGAGTCTCAGTCAAAGATCTAGTTAACCCTTACTGGTAATGACACCTGAGTTTTTCTCTGTACGGAGCTTTTGGAGGTCTATAGAGAGAAGAAGGGGGAGCAGTTCATTCTCGCTGTTAGTACTGGGTTCTTTCCACTGTGTTGGTGAAGGATATATACCCGGTAAAATGGGGGGAAAAACCAAAGTATTTTTAAGAAAGCCTTCCTCTCATCAAAACATTCCACAATAAAAATTTCTACTACGGTGGCCTTTGGGTCACTGTGAAGTGTCACTTTTCCCGTGTCTGTCCCAAGGAGGCGAAGAGCCGCAGTTCACGTGCGCAGAGTTGGGCGTGGAGACAGCCCAGCCCCTTCTGCCGGGGCAGGCGGCGCCTGGCTGGGTGCGGAGGGCTGGCTGTGGCGTGAGCGGCCCACGTGTTAACGCAGCCTGCTCTCCCTCACTAGCTCTGTGCTCAACCTGTGTGAGGGCAGTGGCTTTCCCTGAGCCAAGGAGCTGCCAGGCTTCCCTGGCCAGAATCTGGCTGTGATCTTCAGTTACCTTTCTGTCCCGACACCTCCCGGGCGGTGGTTAGCGCTAGCTTGGTCATCTTAACCCCTGCCAAAGAGGTCCGTGCGACCCAGGTCAGTGACACGCAGGTGCCTTACCCTGCAGAGCCTCAGGTAGGGGTTCAAACTGCAGTGGCCAGTGAAACTTGTGTCCTTAATGCCTCCAAACCCAGAACAAATGTGCTTTACTGGTACCAGCTGCGTTGTAGGTGTGGTGGGAGGCTTTTACTTGCTGTCCGACTGTCCAGCTCATGGTGCTGCGTAGTACAGAGCATTTTAAGATAATAGGGGAGAATATTTGAGATGCCTGTGAAGGGAAATTGGTATGTGTGCGGTTTAGCTTTGGTTATTGGTTATGTCTTAAGTGCTCCAGTGAACCCTGACCACCCCTTGTCAGCAGTGTCCACCCTTCTGAAGCTGCTGGGCCTGTCCCTTGGTGTTGAGTACCTCGGGTGAGAAGGAAGGCTGCTGGAATGAATCTGGCTGTCACAGACTGGATGTTTCGGTCACTCCCACATCCCAGACTCCATGTCCTGTGTGTTAGGTCGTCTCCCTGTATGTTAATGGGAATATTTAAAAATACTGTCATCTTTCAAACCTCTTGGCTCTTCGGGGCAGGGCCGTGCTCCCCTGCCTGCTGGTTCTACTTGGCACGTCAAAAAAGCTGCTGTTCTGCAAAGGGCTGTAGGCTCCTATAGCTGTGGAAGCCATTTGGACTGTCTTTATGTAAATAAAGTGAACCTGGCAACAGTGTGAGTGGCAAAATGCTTTTCTCACCACTAAATACAATTTTGTCAAAAGGGTGTTTCTCAAACTTGTCTTTGAGTTTTCTTTCTCCTGAATCTGTGTTGCGGAACGTTCCGAGAGCTATCCTTGCTGCCTGCTGGAAGGAATTTTGTTTTAACATTTCATTTTCGTTCGTTTTGTACACAGCACGTAGGTCATGTACTCTGTAAGGCCTGTATGTTTCCATAAATCGTCTTTGAGGCATGGTCAGTGGCTCAGACTCTTTTGCTTATTTAATGCTAGATTTATATGACTTCTAAGTTCTCAGCCTTTCAGCAGTAGCTTATTGCTGCTCTATCAGTCTGTACTGTTAATGGTGTATTCTTTAATAAAAAAATGTTTGGGTTGCTGCACTCACAACACTTTTCCCTCTTCCCGTATTACTCAAAGTAGGTTTGGGTTTTTAGTTAACTTTTTTCCCCCTCTCCTTTATATCCATAACAGGGAAAACTAAGCAAACTCCAAGCCAAAGCACACTTCCCACTGATTCAAATAAAATCTGGTTGGGGAACAAACAGATGGGGTACGATTTTCAGAACTTCTCTGCTGATTCCATTGTGTGTTACAGAGCCCTGAGTAGTGATGGACAGCGAGTGTGGGTAAGCTGTGAGTGCAGGCTTCGGTCGTTTCATATCATCTGGGAACCAGTGACAGTTGGAGGAGGTTGTTCAGTGATTGTTCTCTTCTGCTGAGTGTTAAAGTCAGAAAAATCAGTAACATATTCAACACAACTTAATGTGAAACCGTTTAATTGGGCTTTGTGCCAAAAAACTTTGGAAAAAGCAGTATTCTGGTTTTTATGCAGAGGCTTCCGTCTGTCTTCTGAGCTTGGCAGCTTCACTCTCAATGCAAAACTAGTTCCCTCTGTGGTACTGTTGGTCTTTGATACCAGTAAGGAGGGGAAGTTGTAGGTGTTGGACTGTATTTTGTCAAAGTTTGGTGGGTCTGCCAGTACAGGCGGTGTACAACTGGTTATGCCTCTTTCCTTTAAGGTTTACTGTCGCCGTTTTCCGTGTCATTGCTCCCCATTACTGCAACGTGAGACCAAACCAGATGTGTGTGACGGTGGTACCCGAACAGGTACCGGCCTAATAACTTGTTCTTCTTACCTGTGTTCCGTTGTACACGCGCTGTGCCGCAGAGTGCCGGCTTACCGAATGGGGCCTTCACCGGTGGTACCTGGGGGTGCCTGCTGCCCGCCAGGGGAAAACCAGCCCTTAGCAGGAGCGTTAACCCCCTCCGGGAAGCGTGGCAGGGTGGGGGTTCGCTCCTCGGTGGTGCGGTGGTGGTAGCGTTTGGGGCTGGGGCTGCCTCTGGGTTGTGGACAGTAGCTGGGGCCACGCTGCTGCGGGGCGTGGAAACAGCCTCTCCTCCCAGTCGGATCTGCCTTTGCCCTTCCAGTGCTGGTTGTACTGGTGGGGCAATGAGTTTTTTACAGAACTGTCTCCTAGATAAGCCGAGTGCAGTGACTGATGAGCAGTCGGGCCCACAGGATGGGGGCACAGGCGCCGGGAGAGGGAGCTGCGCGAGGTGTGCAGCCTGGCAAGGCTCTTTGCCTCTTCCTCGTGCTGGCCTGTAACATGGAAGTAGCCCCCAGCCCTGCTGCGCTGTGCCAGGGAAGCTCTGAGCAGCACGTGCTGCCAGAGCAAGAAAGAGCTCGTGGTGACCAAACGTACGGATTGAGGGTGAACAACATTCCCGCTCCCAGGTGAGGCCTGAAAAATAGCATGGAACCACAGTAATTTGAGTTGAGCCTTGGCTTTTTGTGGTTGCTGAAGTGTGGAGAGACGCTGGGCTTTTGGGCATGGAAGGGAGAGACCGGAGTAGCCAACAGCTGGAGCGGGGCTGTTCAGCCACAGCCCAGCAGCTGTAGCAATACCAAGGATAAGCAGAACCACGGTCCTGAAAATGCAAGGCGTTCCCTCTAGTCTGCATGAATAAGCGATGGATGACGTGACCGCTGTACTGTAAATGGAATTTACGATGTTAATGACACAGCACAGTCTCTTGCCACAACGGGTCCATTCCCATGTCGTATATAAGGTCTCCTCTCTTGTCTTTTTGAGATGCTTGGAAAGGAACCCAACGCTTTATTCTTTTGTGCGAATAAACGTCAGCTAAGCAGCCGTGTACGTCAAATATCGCTGACACGAGACCTTCTAGCCGTAGGTACCTGCCTGCTAAGGCCTCGACTAATTTGCCACCAGCTCCCAGCAAATAGTGATAGAAATGAAAATGAAGGTGGTTGGAGTGCAATTACATTTGGTACTGTGATACTGGAACCTTTATAGCCTGCCAGGCTACGCTGGTGTGGCTGTCCAATTTTGTCACTGATTTCAGTGTTGCATTAAGCAGGAGCTCCCTTCACTACAAAGAAATCCCATCTGTTTCCCCTCTCTTTATTTTAAGCCCTGAAACAGCCCACAGCAGGGTCGGGACAGAGCTTTTGGAGCCCAGGAGTGTTGCTGGCCAGGAGAGAAGGTAGTTATGTGGTAAAAATGGGTGGGTTTAGGCTTTCCTCACACGTTTCACCCTGCAGTGAAACTTATTACAAGAGCTAGAGAATCAAAATGACAAAGGAGCCTTTAGGACAGTCTGAAGCTCTTCTCTGCATCTCAAATCAGCGTGTGATCAGTTTGTGCGTGACAGTGGCCAAGCTCTCCAGCGCCCTGCCAGAAGGGCTGGGAAGATGGTGGTACAAATCTCTTCAAAACCCAGCTCTGCTCTTCTTTCTGAGCAAGAACGCTCAGCTCCTCCTTCATACTTTGTTTTATTTACATTTGGGACTTTTCATGGAAGCAAATTGCGGAACAGAATTGGTTGGTGAAGCTGTTAATTTTATTACCACTAAAGTGTTGGTTCTCTCGCTACTCCAGCCTCCTCAAGGCTCCTTACGAATCGCTCTTGTAGATGAGATGTCTGCTTCCTCATCTTTAAAAACCCAAACAACATACCTGGGAAGTGCCAGTGGAGTTTTCCCCCCCTCCTTCTGTCTCCAGCTCCCAGGGACTGCAGGCTTAACATTTTATCTGGCGAGTGAGCAAATATGCATAAAGCCAGACTGCTGTTGACTCCTCGGCAGCTGGGGCTGTGGACTCGGCCTCGCCGCAGCGGTCTGTCGCATCAGGCAGATTTTTGTTGCTTTGGGGCTTTTGGTTATTTAGATTTGTCGGTACTTTAAATAGTTAAAATCAGAGCAGGATTGGAGGTAAACAAGAAAAATCCAAAGCTCTACTTGTACTGTTTGAAGAGGTCACTCTTTTGCAGACAGAAGTGTAATTTAAAAACTTTTTCAAATGAATCAAATGCCGGCTGCATGCCGGCAACAGGATACACACGAAAACCTCTTGAAAGAGCTCAAGTGGCTTTTCTCGGAAAGAGAAGTACCTTTTGGTTAACCTTTCCACAAGTAAAGTACCAAGCTCATTGGACAACTTCTCCCATTTGGAAGCACTAACTGCTGTACAAATGTTTCTATCTTAAAGAAAATGAACTTTCAGATCTACGGGTACTTGCTGTGATGGTTTCTGTCCGTATTATTTCAATAATGCTCTGTTCTCTTAGTGCAGACACGTATGTGCTGACAGATGTCTGCAGTTAATGGGTCTTCAGTGCTGAAGCTTTCAGAAGCTTTAAATTATTTTCTTAAATACCAAGTTTAAGTTTGTGTGAGAGGTTCTTTTCTGTCTTGCAGTGGTTTGTGTTATGTGGTTAAAAGTTCCTCAGTGGTGAGTACCTTACCGTTGGGCAGGTAAAGTGCCATCCTGATCCCCAACACGCAGGGCTTTGTGTCGAAGCCTGCGGGTGAGCTGCGCTGCCCCGTCTGCAGGCACAGCCACGGGAGGGAAGTCTGAAACTCCCTCTTTTGGCTCTGCTCTTGCTCACAGCCGAAAGGCTGTTTGATTTCTTCCACGAGATGAAGCATGTCCTGTTTGTCCTTCACAGTTACTGTTTCACAGAGGGCTTTGCTTCTGCACAACTAGGAAGAGCCCAGGAATGGTATATGTAGTGTGGAGGGCGGACTTGTGTTTCATTCCCCAACATTTTTCAGGTGTCCTTTGGCTTAGCTGAAGGACTTTCTGCTTCTGGTTGAAGTTCAGAACTATTCACTGGCCTTTGGTTAAAGAAGGTCCAGGACTGAACATTACTGGTACTCTGGGTTCATAAGGAGGTGGTACCATCTCTGGAGCTAAGAAACCAGTGATGTTTTATCTTAAAAACAGACGAACAAAACCCCCGAACCAAGAAACCAACACCCAGCCAACCAAGAGAAAATCCCCCAAACCTAAAAGGTGGTCTAAGTGCAGTGGTCTATCACCTTCAGCAGTCTTCATTCCTGGGCTGTTCTGAGCTTTGTTGTGCCCTTCTGAGGTTATTTTCTATGGCAGTTCAGTGCTGCTGCCTGGCATGTTTCTGCTTGCATCGCAATAGAAGTGTGTATTTGCAGGGAATCTGCTGGGTGCAGAGTTTGTCTGGGATTCAGCTTTATGAAGTAGTAAATTTTCTGTTGCTTAATCTAATATTCTAGAGAAAAACACTAGTGCAGGGAAAGGAAAATGTCGCTTCACCTTCCAGAAGTGCCATTAGAGATCTTGATCTTGTTACAGTCTCTTCTACACTATTACTTGTAAGAACAGTAACGTATGAGGATTTTAAATCTATTGCAGTCTGAAAAAGAAAGAGCGAGTGTCAATACCAACAGACAGCAACCGACTGCGTTAAAGAAAGTGAGGCAATGCTTGTGCCAGCTCGCTCCCTCAAAGATCAAATCTCAGCAGGCTGAGTTTAACCCTCATTTATTTTATGGTGGATTAACTGAGCCCTGTGACCTGCCTCTGTGATGTTAAATGCGGCTCAAAATGAGCACCAGATTTGTGTTGCTCTTTGATGCGACAATACCCGTCCTGCGCCTTCGCTCCTGTTCTCTTCTCCTTTTTCAAAGAACGAGTTCACTGCCCCCCTCTCCGTGGAGGTGGCTGCATTTCGGGGGCTCTGGCTGTGTACATGGTATCTGCAGTGTTTAGGTTGGAAGACGCTGCAGGCTCTTGCACTTTTGAAATGTGGGCTGCTCCCAGCCCTGAGCGGGATGGGCTGTAGGGACAGGACCATGGAGACACAGTATTCAAATGGAACAGGTGTTGATAGAGAAGTTCTCGGTGTGGAGCTCCATCCACTCTGACAAAGACACCAGACCTGGAAATGCCAGTGGGGGCTCAAGGTTGGCTTGCGTGGGGCTCCTGGGCTGGCTCAGGGAGCAAGCAGGCTGGGAAGAGCTGGGGCAGTGACTGAGGGCTGCTCCCTTGTCGAGAAGACTAGCCCAGAACTGAAAGAGCTGGAGGTGGGGGTGTCTCCTAATCCTCCACTCAGTCAGCTGCTGGCTTGGTACATCTTTGGACATGACAAAATTAAAGCTCTTGTGTTCATGACATTCCCATTGTTCTGACTGAGTTATGCAATTTCTTGTCTCTAGTTTCTCCTGCCTTCGTTTATGTGCTTGACTGTAAACGCTTCCTCAGACAGGGGCGTGTTTATGAGTCTTAAATGAGTTGATCTAGTCCCTATAAGCTCTAGCTATACTGAAGCTTCGGGCTTTGGCTGCTTAAAACCACTGAAAATAAAGAGCTTGCTCTGTAAAGGTGCATCATGACACCAGCTCGGGCAGGGGGGGGGCTGCAAGGGGGCTGGACAGCTGAGGTCCCCCTGGAGAAGCATCCCTGGAGTACCCAGCCTTCTCCTGCTGCAGGCTCATTTGGAAATGGCCTTTCCATACAGGACCAGTGATTAATATATCACTCAGGCTTTGTTCATTGTCTACAGTTAGTAGTCTAACCTAGGTTCAGCAAAGTAATTATGAGAAATAATTAATAGCTCTCAGTGATGAGGTAGCCTCTCTCTCCCTCCCCTCTCCCTCACCATGTGGTGCACCTTGGTAGTGAATCAGAAAACACAAGAGGACATTATGAATCAAAAAATAAGTCTTTACCTGTAATTAACTGGGCACACAAAAAGGAAAACGTGGTGATCAAGCAGCCATTAATAGTTGCTTTACTGGAGGAGGATACACCAGAATCAAATGCTCATGGCAAAATGTCCCTTTAAGTTGTGGTTCTTCCGTAACATTTAATCCAAACAAAAATAAGTCCCTACCAAAAAAAGTATTTGAACCGCACACTATATGGACATGTGTGGATAAGACACTGCACTGCTCACGTACCATATGCCTGATGGCCCCTGTGTTCTCTGTCAGTGCAAGAAAACAAAACCCAGCAATGAAAATACAAAATCAATGCAGCAACTAGAGTTGTAGGCAACGTTATGTGCGTGGCCAGGCCAGGCCGACGGTGGGACGTGGGTCTATGCAGCAAGGATGGACCAGAGTCCCCCCCTCCCCTTCCCCTGCCCGTTGTGTTATGGGGCTCTGGAGCTGTCATGACAGGCTCTTTCAAAACAGGACACTAAGAAGATGAAAAATAAAAAGAACACCCCAGCCTATACCCAAGTAAATAAAGTAATAATAAAAAAAATATCCCTTGGATCGCGGCACTATTTCACCTGGACCCCGATGGCCCCGGCCCCGGCTCGCCCTGTGCGGAGCGGGGAAGGACAGTGGCTGCGCGGAGGGAAGGACGGGCCCCGTGTCCCCGCTGGGCTGCGGGACCATGGCCCCGGCACAGGCTGGTGCAGTCCCCACGCCGCTGCTCGGTAGCCGGCTCTGCGCTGCGGCCACCCCGGCTGCTGCCAGGATGGGTTCGTGGGCAGGAGTCAGCCCCCGGTTGTCTGCATACCTCTCTGCTTGGAAAGTGGCCCAAAAGACGTTGTGCAAGTCCTAGCGTGAAGGAGGGCGGAGGAGACGGTGGGGAGAGCCACCCGTTACCTTAGTCTCCCCAGGTCCCTCGGGTGATGTGCCTGGGCTGGGCTCCCTCCGCTCTGGTTTCAGAGGTCCACCCAGCCACGCAGCAGGAGGGCGAGCACCCCGAGGAGGATGGTGCCGAGGCTGCCGCGCGCGCTGGAGGCACCGTCGCAGTCCTTTTTGTCGGCTTCGCACCTGGATTGCTGGCACAGGACCCCCTTGAAGCCCACGGGGCAGATGCAGCGCTGGTTCTGGTAGCAGGTGCCGCCGTTCTGGCAGAGCAGAAGCTCGTCGTCGCAGACATTGGCTACGAGGTGGGAGGGGGGGAAGGATGTGGGTGTTAATCTGGGGTGTGTTAAACCTCTTGACTGCAGCAGAAATGAGAAGCTTTTAGCTTTCTTCTGTAGCTCCTAGGGGTTAAATTATCCAACCCTCATAGCGCTAGAGCAGTCCCAAGGCCAGAGGAACATAGTGTGGGCTGCAAACTCCTGGGGCGAAGCTATCAAGTCATTTTGGATTTGGGAGGAATGGTTGGTGTCTGCTCACCCTACACCCTGAGCATCACGGGGCACCTGAGCAGGTGATGCTGAAGATCCCCCTCTGGATGCAAACCCCCATCTCACACCTCCCTCCGGCTCAGGTACTTACGGAAGCAGCCCTGTCTCCAGTAGTAGTTGGGCAGGCAGTCGTCACACTTGGGCCCTGTGGCACCTTCTTTGCATTCACAGTAGCCGGTCTCGTTGCAGCGATCGTGCATGGAGCCGATCTGGTTGCAGTTACATTCTGGCCAAAGACAGGGCTGTTAGTGCCTGTCCTGCCTGGGGGCTTTGCGCCTTCTGATGCCCTGCGGGAGGTGTAGGTGACTTTGGAAAAATCTGGCTACGTGCTACGGGAGGGACCTTAGAGACCGAGGGGCTGGGAGGGCACAGAGGCTCCAACAGCACACAGCCACGGCTGCAAGACCTCCCCCCTTTGGAGCTGAGCTCCTGGTAGAGCAGCACACCTGAATCAAGTTGGAAAGATGTTATTTGGGCTTTGTTTTCAGGGAAGAGATGCCTTGGCAGGCTGCAGAGACCGTAACGGCTGCTGTCTAGGGAGCATGCAGGTGGACACGCCACCCTCGGAACTGAACTGAAGCCCACCCCAGAGACTGAGGTCCTGCACGAGCCGTCCCACGTCCCGGCACCGCTGCCCGAGGCCGCCGGAGCGCTCACCTATGCATACATTCTCGTCATCCAGCTCCGCCGAGCTGTTGCGGTAGAAGCCCAGGCGGCAGTGCTGGCAGTGCTGGCCCCTCGTGTTGTGCTTGCAGCTCACGCAGGTCACCACGTTCAGGAAGTCGATGTAGCTGCAGCGGTTGGAGTGGCCGTAGCACTCGCAGTCTGTGGAGAGGAGGAGAGAGCTGGGGAGCTGGGCTGGGAGCAGCCTCCCTCATGCTGGGCAGAGGCGAGGAGCCACGAGGCTTTGGAGGAGGCTCTTCACTGCCACGGGGGGGTTCAGGCTGGAAGCCATTGCTCAGAGAGCACCGTGGGGTCAGGGGGCTCTGTCCCCTTGGCGTGAGGACAGGCAGGAGCCAGCCCCTGACTGTCTCAGGGCATGATCTCTTTAAGGAAATGCATAATCATGGGAGCAGGCAGTGGAAGGGAGTCAGGTGTTAATTAAAGAGCTGCCTTGTTAATGAGCAGAGCCCAGCTTGGTGCCTGGGTTTGGCTCCGGTGGGGCTGCAGGACCTGCAAGGGAGCTGCGCCGGGGTGCGGAGCCCCAGCAAAGGCTGCGCTCTGCCTCGCTGCGGCGAGGAGGGGACTGACCCACGGGGTGGGACTGGCAGAGGGTGCAGCAGCGCTCGCTGCCTCCGGCGATGGGAAGGCCCTGGACTAGGCTGAAGTGGAGCTGAAGCTGCTGTGTGCCCAGGTAAAGCCTCGCTGCCTCTCTGGCTCTTTCCTCTCCGTGTCCTTTCTCACCATCCCCCTTGCTGTTGCACCTCCCAAATTGATGCTGGTTGTGAAGTGGGGTGACTCTCAGGTTAAAATGAGTGTATGCAAGGAAGCGTGGCTTGCATGGGGTCCTTCAAAGGATGGTGGGCAAGTGCGTGAAGGTTTGGACCAGGGCTGCCTGGCACAGCACAGGGATGCCTGCGAAGGCTGCTGGTGGGGTGGGAGATGTCGCCATCAGTTGGACAAGCACTGCTCCTATCCGCAGGGCTGACCTCTCTCAGCTGTGGGCGCGTGTTACAAAACAACGAGCTGGGTTTAATTTGCAGCCAGAGGAATTCAATTACTTGCTTCTTGTGTTTGCTATTTATTATCATGAATTGGGATGGTGACTACCTCGCAGTGTTAGATTCAGGGCACTGGATCTTTCTGGGAGTGTAAAAGTATGAACACAGGAGGAGAGGGGGTAGCCTAGTTGCCTTGTGGCCCAGTTGTCCCGGTCAGGGGGTGTCCCAGCCAGCACGGGCAGGGTTTAACGTGAGCAGAAACAGCGTCAGCCAGCTGTGAGCTTCCCCAGCCTTCAGAGAGGAGGCGGGAGGCTCGGAGCTGGGATTTTGTTCCAAGCTCTAGCATAAACATTCAAGGATGGCAGAAGGATGGGAGGGAAGGGTGTGGGTTGGCATGCACATGCGACTGGAGGAGGAGACTTGTCTCAATGAACTGATGATCAGGGAAGATGGAGCAGGGCAGAGGTTTCCCCATGGTTCACAGCTGCCTGAGGAGGAGCTGAAGAGTCCCTTGTAATCTTGACCCTCTGTGAAACAACTTCTGCCTGCTTGACTGATACCCAAAGAATTTCAGCTCAAACACTTCTGGCTGCTGCAATTCCCAAGCAGTGTTTCACCACAGGCAGGGCTGCACGCCTACATACAGCGAACCGTGACTCGGATCGGCAAACCCTCCCTGCCTTCTCCACGTCGGAGGCTGCTGGACCATATCACCTGGGCGAAGACTAGGAGCCCTGGACCACCTAGTGCTCCCTCCTCTTACCTTTATATGTTTCAATAGGAGCCACTGGGCCAGAGTCTTGTTTGAGCCGGATGAGTTTTGAGCTCTTTGAGGAAGCTTAAGAAAAATCAGAGACATGCTTTTTTCTCGCCGCTTAGCACCGCTCCGCGTCCTACCCTACCACAAGCAGCTCTGCTACGAGAACAATGCCGAGCCAAGAACACTGCTCTGGCAGCGCTGGCATCTATTTCTGCACCAGACAGCTGGTAGCTGCTAAATTTCTCTTCTCCCTTCCTCAAAGTTTGATGCAGGAAAAACTCAACGCACAGCGCTGTTGCAACGCACAGAGCCGGGAGGAGCTACTTGCACAACCCCCCGTTTATGCATGTTCGGTGGTGTGAATTGGGTTACCCAGGATAAGGATCTGCAAGCCAAATCAGCTTAAAAAAACCCAAAAAATCTACTGGCTATGGACTCAGTTTGATGGAGGTCACATCAACTGGCACCCGAAAAGCTCCTAGGAGTGCAGCTAGGAGGACAAACGCGATGGAGGTGGTATCTGGCAGGGCTTGCTACAGGGTCCCGCAGAGCACGTGCTGCTCCAGCCCAGCTTGTCCCCACCAGCACGTACCTGGCTTCTTCCCGTGCCTCTTGCCTGCAGAGTGTGCTGTGCGCCCTGCTTTGCTCTTCGGAGCCGCTACGCCAGATGAGAAAACACATCTGAGTGTTGTGGTGGGGAGAGGGCTCCCAGGGCCAGCCCGGCCCAGTTGGGCTGGGATATTCCCCCAGGGTAGGGGGCTGTGCTGCCAGCCAGACCCCTGTCCCACACAGAATGACCGGGGTGCTGGGGGTAAAGGCCATCCTTTTCAAATCAAGCTGATGGGGTTTGGTGCTTGTGGTGGGGGGAGGGGAGGGGGTTGTGCTTTGGCACCCCGTCAGGGGTAAGGTTGAGCAGTGCTGAGATCCCACAGGGTGTTTAGGAATGGGTCCCACCAGTTTTTGTGGCGTGCCAGCCCTTGCAGAGTGCTGGGTGGGCGTTGCCATCTGCGTCCCACTGGTGTCGGTCACCTCCCTGCAGTGATAGCAATGGCAGGAGGTGGCTGTGCTCCACACCCCTAGAGCTCAGCCATGGCCAGGGTGGGCCCACTCCTGCCTCTGTGAGGCTGCTGTGGCACTGAGGCCTCTTTGGGTCTCCATGACTTCCTCTGGTGCCATGGTGGGTTGGCATGGTGTCCAGACCCTCCACCAACACGGCCTCTCCAGCCCTTGTGGCCATCACAGGCCACCATGGCCTCCTCCATCCCCTGACGTGATGGCTGAGCACGGAACATGGTGGCCTCTGCTCGCAGGCACTCAGCAGTGGACCAGCACAATGCAGGAGGACTGGGGCATGTTGTCCCTGCCATGAGGGAAGTGGGGGAGCCCAGAGGGGAAGGAGTAGCTCAGTAGGTCCCTGGGGCTCTCCAAAGCCCCACGTTTCTTCAGTGGGTGCTGCAGGTGGCCCTGGCAGCCATATCCTTGTGTAGAAGCACCCATGGTTGTGCCTATCCCTCAGGAGTAGGGGGCCATGGCCATGAGGAGGCTCCATGGGGTGTTGGGAGCAAGGTGATCTGCTAATGAGGCTTGGCCCTGTTGGGCCAGATCAGCAGATCAGCCCAATTAATCTTGTCCAATTAACCTTGGCAAGGGAAGGTGCATGCCTCTCACCTCATGGCTAAAAAAACCCTTCCCAAAGCAGCTGGGTTGCCCATGGGCTCTCCTGGGGCCCAAGAACACTCCTGCAGCCATCCCAGCCCCAAACACATCTCCAAAAAGTTCTCCATGGGGCTGGATGAGCAGAACTGAGCTGAGGTGGACCGTCTGACTAAGAGAGCAGATTGTATGATGGAGGGTCATGCCGAGGATGGGTGGGTTGTCCTGGCTTACAGGCACTGGGGGAGAAACCTAACCTGTCCTGTCCTGCCCTTGGGGACAGGCATGGCCTTACCTCGAATGTTCTTGGGAGGGTCTGGTGGCTTTGGCTTGGGTCCAAGCGTTGCTGTGTTTGGTGGGCGCTGAACAGCTTACGGTGGCATCAGTTAGAAAGAACATCGGGTTTAATACAGATCGCCCTTGTTTGCTTAAAAAGGTGGCAAAGGGACCCTGGAAGCTCTAGGCAGGTACCTAGGGTGGGTTTGCAGAGCCATAGCTGGCTGAGGATGTGTTGAAGCAGCAATGAGAGACAAAGTCTCCTGGAAATTAGTCTTTAAATGTGAAGAGACAGAAAAAGTACTCCTAAGGGGAGGGAGCTGCCAGATGGATGAGTGTTGGCATGTGGTCATCACATTGCCCATGCATGGAGAGAAGCTGAGTCTGTGGACCACTGTCAAGACTCGGAAGTCCCCTGTGTTTGGCACAGACTGTCAGCATCACCTGGTGTTGATGCCCACGGTGTAGGCCTTTTCCTTGTTACTGTGTCGAATGGTTTTGCCTCTCTGTGAAGCCAGCGACAGGCCCAAAAGCACAATGATTCCAAAGATCCTCAATTTCAGCATTTTGTCCCCCAGCTGAGTATTTCCAAACACTGGGTTGTGTCCTGGGCCCAGCTGCAGCAGTTATGTTCTGCACTGGAAGGGATGCTAATGTCTACGGCTGGAGCGAGCTACAGGGATCTCAGCTGGGAACAGGACTTGAGCGCCAAGGGGCAACTGCCGAAGTGCGTGTGCTAGTGAGAACCCTGAGGAGCAGAAACTTCAGCCTCAACAGCGAGTGTGAAGCCTCCCAAGGTTCCCACCAGAAGCAGGTCACCTTAGGCAGTCAAGCAGGAGACCGAAGCAAGGAAATACATAAGAAGGCATCTATGCTACAGACGACACGGGCCTATCTATTTACAAAGTTATTCTGCTCTACAAACAGACTCCGGTCTCGGGAGATGACAGGATTTCCATGATCCTCTCGGTTCACCCCAGCAGCAAGCTGTGAACAATCTCTTCTACCACTTACCATCCTCATCTTTCATGTATACGACTAAACCCCGAGGCTCAAACCAGCCCCACCAGATTCCCAGCTGCGTGTCAGGCACAGACAAACCCTGAGCTTTTTCCCAGGCGGGAGGAAGAGAGAGCTGCATGGAAAGCGGAGATGCAGAACTAGAAACTAAAGCGCTCGCCGGGCGTCGGGAGCTGGTGCTCGCTGGCCAGGACCCAGCCCAGCCCCGCGTCTCCTACCTTCTGCTCCTGGGCCAGCCCTGCCCACTTGCAGCGGGGCAGCCTCCGACAAGCCGGTGTAGTCTTGCAGCGATCAAAGGGGAAATCTGTGTTACTGGGTGTGCTGGGGGGAACTGGTAACCAGCGGGGAGCTCTGCAGCACTCTGATGGAGGGCCAGAGCTTCGGAGGGCAAAACCAACCCTGCGCCACGGCTGCTTGACGCAAGTGCCGCCGGCGGCGTTGGGCGGCTGGTGCGT